TTAAAGATAGTCAGTAGCTTTGAGTATTTGACAAGGAAGGATTCTTTGGGTAAATATCATTTGGTCTTACTATGTGGAGCCAAAGGCAGTTTAAACAGATTCAGACTTGTTTCACCGTTGCAAGGCTTGTTACTCTTCTGTGGGTCTTTCTTTTTTCTTTTTTGTGAGAATGGGGTTTGAACTTGGCTTCACACTTGCAAAGTAGACACTCTACTGCTTGAACCACATCTCCAGTCCATTTTGCTTTGGTCATTTTGGAGATGGAATCTTGTGAACTATTTGTGTGGGCTGGCCTCAAACCTTGATACTCTGGATCTCAGCTTCCTAAGTAGCTAGGATTGCAGGCATGAACCCACCGGTGCCTAGCTTCATGGTCACCTTTATATGATTATTTTCAGCGAACTTCAGAGTTTATAGTAAAATAGTTTTTAGATTTCTCTGGCAATCTTAGAAAGTAGATAGCACTACTTTCATTGCTTTATGGGTTGTTTTATGATTTCCCTCAGTCCCACTGTGTGTGTATAATTTACATTAAAGTGAATTAGACTGAAAACACTTTGTAGACTTAATACTATGTGGATACTAATGACTATCATAGATAAAATCATTATTATGCTCTCCGTCCTCCTTCTGTGCTTCCCAGAACAGTGATGCAATGCCAAGATTTATTTTTCTCTCCAAGAAACTCTTCTGGTTCATTTCTCCTTACTCCCCTATCTCTGACCTAGTTTTCTTCAGTAACCTGTACCTTTTGTCTTCTCTTTCTTGTGTTTGGAAGTGAAGATGGAGGGCTGAGTTGATATTCCAGCTCTGCCACCCACTAGCATGAGATTTCTATGCCTCACTTTCCTCATCTTTAAAATGGGGCCAGAAGTATATAGCAAGAACTAAGACCCTTCACCACTTTTCACTGCTTCCTGTGGTCTCCTCAGTGTGACATTAGTCCACTTAGAAGCGCTTCCATTTGAAAGTTCCTCCAGAGTTCTCCCACCTAGTTAACTACATCTATTTATGTTTTTATTTTTGTTAAACTCATGATTTTGTTGCGCTTCAGTACCTCCTCAAGAAGCCTGTTTCCTATGCTACCCACAACACTTCAAGGCTGAAAATGCATTCCCGCTCAGTGTCCTAGGAGGGAGGTGGGTGTGTGGTGGTTGTGGCTTTGCCTATACCTTGCAGCTCTAGGGATGCCCTCCTAACCTGCCCAGTGTCGGTAATGTATAGGAACTAAAATAAAGCTTATTGCAAGAGACTAAGAAAAAAGGTGTCTTGGGGGGGCCCAGCCCCTCCTGCTGCAGTTGGACAAGAACGGATATAGTCCTCATGCTTGGGTTGAGAAACCTGGCCTGGCTTGTTACTTTTCCTGCCCTGGGCCTGCTTCACCTCGGGCTGTGTTGCTTTCTGATTCTCTGCTATCTACTGCTTTAGAAGCCACTGGTACAGGCCTAGGCTGCAATAAGGACCACCTGGGCTGTCCATCAGACACAAAGTGTGGTTGTGCCCTGGGTTCCAGGCCCAGGTAACTGAAGGGTGACGGAAGACGTCTGTGGTTTAGGTCACTTACTTAGCAGATGTGACCACCTCCACATGGCCCAGTCTTCTCTACGTGATCTTGTGGCTGATTTGGCCAGATGCATGTATGTAGAGCCCACAGTTTTCTCTGCACTTCAACCAATCAGGAGTGTTCTTTGTTGTGCAGGGTATAAACCTGACGCTCATGTCTTGCCTTGTGTGCATTGTGAAAAGCAGTTGTGCCTTACTAAAGTTGTTTCTGAAAACTCCGGTGTGCTCACTAAGCTGACACAGTGGTGTAAGTGTGTGGGAGTCCGGCTGGAGGGTTTCACTGGGCTCTGTTTTCTCAACTACCAAGTGGGACAATGATGATACTTGGATATTAATGGAGACCTTAGTTATTGTAGTACTTTGAAACTTTTAAAACATGAGACAGCTGTTATTTGTTTGGTACAGGCTGATGTGGGAACTTGAGAGAGACAAGGAGTGAGTCCTGCCTGCAGAGACTTCAGATGTTACTGGAGGAGATAAGACACATGTGGGTGTTTATACAACATGGCTGAAGGTGATTTTCTGTGAGTCCTTGGTGGCTTTAAAGTCCTGGGGAAGGTCAGTGGAGAGGATGTTTCACAGAGAAGATGATGTCTGAGCTTGGCTTTTTGGTGGCCTGTCGATATAACTGGTATGCTGGGGCATTAACTTAATCAGGTACTGGAGAGTGAGCCCCCCCTGGCTGGGGGAGTAGCGCAAGGAAAGATGCAGGTCTGGAAACCTGTCAGACTTGGACAATTCACAGTAGTTGTTGAGTTGGATTTGTGCCCTAGGCCAGGGGATCTCAGAGCAATGTTGAGCTGAGGAAGTGTTAAAATCAGAAGAGAGTTTTAGGATGAATAATCTGTCAGCAGTTTAAATGGGTGGAATAAAGAGAGGCAGGAAAGTCTCTTTAATGGAAGACTAGTAGGAAAAGATTGAAACACAGAACCTGTTTACCTCCTAGTTACTGTTTTGAAGAGTAAATGAGACAAAGGATGTGGAAGTACATTTGGAAACATGAGTCAGGATGGTTCAGTACCCAAGCTTCGCAGCCCTACAGCATTGGTTTACCATGGTGTCAGGTGCCTGTAAGTCCGCCTGACTCTTACCAAGGTGGTGGTATAGGGCTGCACAGCCCAGCTTGTGCTGGTCCCCCCACATCCTGCTGCTCTGTGGCTCTCTTTGTTCTTGCTTTTCACTCTTGACTTGGCTTCTGTCCTTGCCCCACCTGCCTCTGAGTCAAGAGACTAGGTTTCCATTCCTGTGCTAAGAATAGCCTATAGTAGAGCCTGATCTATTCTTTTCCTGGATTGTCCCTTCCAGGATCTCTCCCCTTCCTTGCTACTTGGAAGAATCACCTACTAAGACCACCTCATTTGGAAAAGCCCTAATAGGGAACTCTAGTCTGGTCTTGTCACAGTAACAGGCCCAGAGAATAGTGTTGAGAGACATGGGAGGATTACTGAACTACTCTGAGCTTCAGTTTCTTTCCTCCAGGGTAAAAGGAAGAGGCTCTCTCCCTATTTGACTGTGATGCTTAAATGAGGTGATGATTGAAAGGACTTGTTGGTGTCCAGTGAACATTGGTTGCCTGCAGTGTTTTCTTGACCTTCTGTTTCATGTTAAGGAGCTCAATATGTTGTCAGTCTCTATTTGGACAAGTATTTGGACAGATGTTCCTAAGCAGGCTACTACTTACTAAGAAATGTATGAGAAGTCATCCATTTGTTGACCAGGGACCTCCCGTCTGCCTGGTGTTTGGCTGTTGCTTGCATAAACCTTGGTAAGTGTTGGCACAGGAAGCATTCACAAAATCACATGGATGCAAGAGCATTGTAAAGTTAGCCCTGAGCCCTGTGCCATCCTGACTATGTGTTTATAAAGTTCAGATTTCAAGTTTAATGGGATAAGAGAGTCAGAAGGAAACTTAAACTATCTTAGTCACCCCCAACGCCCACTTATGCCACTGCTGGATGGCAAGGTGTGCCTATTATAGGACATTGTGTGGTGGCTTATGACTTTTCATGAGTGTCTCCTCCCCAAGGTCTTATTCGGAAGTCCTTTCTTGATGTCTGTGGGCATGAAAGCACTATTAAGAAACAAGGAGTACTCAGTGCCTTACCCATGTAACCTGGACCACAAAAAAATCTACATTCCTGAGAATATCCTCCCTCCCCACTTCCTTCTGTTGTTTGGGAAGGTGACCCTGTGAGGCCTTTTCTGTGACAGGGTCTAGGAAAGTTCAGCAAGGCATCTTCTAATTATCCCTGACTCCAGGCACACCCCAGTCTTTAAAGCAGTACCAGAGTCAGCTCATTACTTCACCTGGAAAAATGTAACAACTTACTGAGCAACTGGTGGGAACCAGGACCCATAGTAAGCGTGTCGCAACTGTTCTTTTTTTCTGTCATCACCACAAATCTATAATGTAGATGGTATCATTTCCATATTGGAGATCCAGGCTTTGGAAGGTAAGTGATTTACCAGCTATGAGTTACACAACTATGAGTGGCATAGTCAGGGTTAAATACAACTCATGTTAGAACCCAGGCACTTAGCTTTCCCCAGGCTGAGTGCGATGTAGGAGAGAGTTGCCTGTGGGGGTACCAGCATGTAGTCCCTGTGCCTGTGACACACACACACTCCGTACACATTTGAGGGGACAGGGGAGCCAGCTGGGCCAGGGGCTGTCAGGGGAGGCTCAGCACCAGTCCCTATGCCTGCTGTGAGAAGGAGGACACAGCTGTACCCTGTGGCCATGTAGACCAGGAGTGTGGAGAGTCTTCCAGATCTAAGTGTGACCCATGTGGCCACAGCGTTTTCAGAGTGATGCTGTCTTCAGTTTGATTTGGGTGAAGCCAAGTCCTACAGTCCCTTCTCCAACCCCCATCCACCCCCCATCTCCTGTTGGAGATGCAGTTCTGAGTATTTGTCTTCCAAATGTTATCTGCTTGGGCTGCAGTTTCAGCTTATGTCTTTTTTTCCTAGTGGATTTGGAAAATGGCTGATTTTTGCCCTCCAGAGATCTATTAGTAGTGTTCTAAAAAGACTAATTTCCTACATTGACTGTGCTTGACCCCCACCCTTCTACTAGCCCTTCCCCTAAATTAGACCAGCTGTGTCCAAGTTTACTCAGACATTTGGGCTCCAGTTCTTGTTCTGCTCCTTTTTTCCTTTGATGGTGGTTCATTTCTTTCGAGAGCTTTCCCTCCAGCTGAATCCCTGTACTGCCCAGTGCCGGCCAGGCATACCTCTCTAGTACTCAGTTTTAATGTGAACTTGGGTATGTGCTCTGAGTGCTGTCCTCACTGCTATCCCCACCTCCTGTTCTGGTGCTTCATGACTTAGGTAGATGGCACTTAAGATGAGGAGCAATGGTGAGAGAAGGGTGGGGTGAGAAGGGTCCAGGCATCTGTTTTTTCCATTCATTTGGAACAATCTGTTTTGCTTCTCAGGTACCCAAATAAGCTGTTTCTCCCCAAGTTCTTTCTCCTGGCGTCAAGCTGCCTTCGTGGATTCTTACTGCTGGGCTGCTGTGCAGCAGAAGGCTTCCTTGCAGAGCGAGTCTGGAAACCTGCCACTGTGGCTGCACAAGGTAATGGTAGATACTTTCAAATCCATCCTGTTTGCTTTATAGACATGGAAGAGGAAGCCTGGAGAGGCTGTGCCCATCCACAGCCATACAGAGGTGTGTGGCCAACCAGGGCTCTTTCTTTGATCACAAAACCTCAAAAGGAACCTCAGAGCTGACTTGATCTGGCACCTTCACATAGCAAATAGGGAAGTAGGTGCTCTTTGGATTTTAGCTCCACAGTGTCAGGTACCTTATGTGTCTTCAGCTTTGTGTCATTGACGCCTAGCAGAATGTCTGGCCCCTAGTAGGCTCTCAATCCGTTCAGAAAGAGCGGAGCTGGGACTCAAGCACAGCTCCTTGTCTAGTGCCTTTTCCATCACACACGGGGTCTCTTAGTTGAGTTGGTTCCAGCTGCTGTGTTACTGGTGTATCTGGAAGCCTCGTGGTGACTCGTTGGAGGTGCTGACTGCAGCAGAGTTTTGGACTGGATTCCTTTGCAAATGCTGCACGGAAGCAGAGCTGCTATGTAAGACACATCAGGGTCTAGGTTATGTATCCTACAGAGGAGAGATCTAGGAGAAGACGGACAGTGGAGCGAACATACTTAGAAACTGGGTGGTCAGAAACTAGAGCTGTACTTAGCAAGTGTGTGCAGAACATTTTCTAAGTAGTGAAATGACTGCATTAGGTCTTCTCTGGGTACCTGAAATTAGGACTCTGTTTTAGCCTATAATTAATCTCAACCACTGTTTTTTTTGTCCTTCATGAACACAAGTAAAACATTTGTGTATCTTCTGGCATTCTGATCTGCTGAGGAGAGTACAGAATCTTAGCTTCTAAAAAACCAAAGGCTAAAGTTTATTTTGAGTCTCTCTTGCTTTGACCTGCCGTGGACTCTAGGCAGCACCCTTCTTTTTAGAGAGCAATTTTGGCTCTCTGTGACTCAGGTCTGTTTTCTTCCATGTTTGTCTATTGCATGCAGTTTGATATAGTCATGCCCTGCAGTGACTCCTGTCTTTATTTGTGTTAGGCTTTTCTCTTTGATTTTCAACCTTAGCATTGGGTGGGGGTCCTCATCAGCTTTGTGTCACTTAGTAGCCAGGACAACACATCATAAGGATCTGTGGGACAAGTAGGCACAGTTCCAGAGTTTGAACAGCTTTGTAAATCTCAATGCATGCTATTGTGGGCTGGCAGAGTGGCTCAAGTGATAGAGTACCTAGCAAGTGTGAGGCTCTGAGTTCAAACCCCAGTACAGCTCCCCCCCACTAAAAAGAAAGGATCTTAATACACACTGTAATTTAGGTCCATGTGTTACTTACAGAAATGTAAAGTTGTAACCAGTCACTGGACTGAGCATTGTAAAAGAATAGATAGCTGGATTACTTGATTTAAGAGTTGACGGGGATGTTAATGAGTGAGATTTTTTTGGAGTGAGAAGAAACTCAAAGATTTTTATACAAATGCCTTTTACATATAAGGGGAACTCTCAGAAATCAGGCCCAAGAATCATAGGACTAGTTGTCAACTAAATAGACTAGAACTCAGGTCGTAGACTCTCAGACCAATGTCTCCCCAGTGGAGGAAGGGGGAATCTGGTAGCAGTGTGGGGGTAGCCATGCCTTAGGTTCCTGGTATACTGAGAGATTGCCTGGTAGTGGGAGACTAGCTTGTTTGCTTGGGCATGTGGCTGAGTGTCTGAGCAGAGCTCTTGCCAGATTCATATGGCTGGGGACAGAAATTGAAGTTGGGACATGCTAGGTTGGAAAGACCCTGGTCAACACCCCCAGGCTTTTGGTTGAGACCCTTAAAGGCCATTTGTTAGGAGTAAAGGGTAACCTAACATTAAACCAGCCCTCATAGGAACTACAGTTCTGATTTGAGTCATTTCAGTACCAGTAGAATGAAGGAGGTCTGGCATTGCTAGTGTCTCTAGTCTACCTGCCTGCTATAAGCAAAACTGAATCCTTTCTGGAGGAAGGTGACATTGTGTAGAGCCTACATGCATGCTCTGACTTTCCACATGGCTGATTCGCTTTCACTGAGAAATACCAAGTATGTGAGAAAAATCAGAAATTGAAACAGACCCATGTGAGATCCAGATCAGGCATTCATTTTAAATAATCATTAGTAACTGGTAATAATTAAAGAATTATGATAATGTGGGGAATTTCACCAAGAGTGAAATTGTGAAGAATTGTGACAGGAGAGTTCCTTTTAGCTGACACTGATGGAGGGTCGTCTAATGCTAGGAAAGTAGACATGGAAGAGAACACAGAGGGAGAATAATTGGAAAGTTAGATGGGAAAGAGAGAGAGTGGTTTTCCTAGAAACCGAGGGAAGTGTTTCCAGACAGAGCAGTGTGGCTCTGTTGCATGCAGTCACTGCATTTAATGAAATCACAGGAGGAAATTTGGGGAGAACTAGCAGCCAGATAGTTGTGGGTAAAAAGTGAATGAATGGGAGGTGAGGAGATGAAAATGATGGAAATAGAAAATTTCTTCAAAAATTTTTTTTTTCCTTTTCAGAAAATCTCTCTTCCTGATCAGTGGAAGAGTAAGTAACAAGCTGGGTGGCAACTGGAGGGAAGGTTTGGGGTCCAGGAAGGTTTGTAATATGAGAGTTTTGAGGAAATACTCACGGAATAGGAAGGTAGAGAAGAGGCTGAAGTGTACAGCCATACCACACTGAACGCACCTGATCTCGTCTGCTCTTGGAAGCTAAGCAGGGTCGGGCCTGGTTAGTACTTGGATGGGAGAAGAGGCTGAAGATAACTGGGCCCAGCAAGCACAAAGACACTTGCCTTTGAGTATGGGGGTGGGGCGGGACATAGCACTTTACTATGAAAGAAGCTTGTCCTGCTGGGAAGCAGTGGGGTCTTGACTGGCTGGGAGGGAAGCTGGGTTATATAGGACCTGTGAAAGCTAAACAGGTGCATAGGCTAAATACCGAGACACTGGGAACCATTGCAGGTTCCTAAGCAGGTGAACTTGCTGGTTCCAAGAGTTAGTCCTCAGAAGTGGTGTGCAGGAGAGAGGAGAAACAGGGAGAAAGCCACTAGCTAGGCACAGAGGGATGGTTCTGATCAGGGAATGCAGGGATATTTCTGAGAAGGCAAAGAGCAAACAAAAAACAATACTTGATGTCTCATTGCTTATTAGAAGGTTGCACTAAAGGATCAGCAAAGGGAACATCAAGTGCTTAGGCTAGGGAACAGCAAATGTCCCTCCCTGTGGAGGGCCAGTGTCTTGACATTGCAGGTCATATAGTCACTGTTGTAGCGACTCAGCTCCACTATGGTAGAGACTATGTACAGGAACTGGTTGTGACCAGACTTGGCTTTTTGGCAGCACTTTGTAACCCCTGGGTAGCATGGTAGCAGTGGTAGGAAGTGGATAGATTCTAGTTGTTTGAGATGGTGAAACCAACAAGATGTGCTAATTGGACATGAGAGGTTGAGGGAAAGATTGGAGTCAAGGACACAACCAAGTTTTCAGGCACTAGGTAAAGTTAAGGCTATTAAAATACTACTTTGATGAAGCCTGGTGAAAGAGAAGGTTTTGGAAGAAAACCAGGTAGCTCTGCTTGGTCACGTTAAGTTAGAGATGCTCCCATGGCTCAGAGGACATGCCAAGCAGGTAGTAGGGTATGGTGTCTGGAGATGACAGTGTGGGTTGGAGCAGTCTGTCAGGAAATAGATAGTATGGAAAGCTGTGGGACTGGAGGGGGTCTACTAGGGAATGAATATAGACGGGGCAAGATCTGAGGCAGTCTTTAACATGGAGAGTTGATGGAGTGGGAGGAGTTGGCAGAGAAGACAAGAGAGTTGGGGGGGTGAGGAAAACAAGAAGGGTATGCTGAGCGAATGAAGGGCAGGTATTCTGTAAAGCAGCCTGTGTTGATATGATAATGTGCCAAATGCTGCCGAGAAGGTGAGGAAGGAGAAGGCTGAGACTTAGAAGAGTGTTACATTTGGAGGGTGTCATGAATTGAAGTGTATCTCCTAAAATATATATATATTGATGTCTTAATCCCCTGAGCCCTAGAATGTGACCTTATTTGGAAATGGAGTTGTTACAGATGTGGTGTGTTAAGATGAAGCCATCCTGGAGTAGGGTGGGTCTTTGATCCTCTTACAAAGAAGAAAACTGGACATAGACATGCTCAAAGTGAAGACAATGAATGTGAAGACACTCATGGAGAGGATGGCCATGGATATTGAAGACATGCTGCCAAAGCCATGGAGCACTGGAAGAGTTAAGGAAGGACTCTTCTCAGAGACTTTGGACTTCCAGTCTCTGGAACTGTGAGAGAAGAGATTTCTGCTGTTTTAAATCATTCACTTTGTGGGATTGGTGTGACAGCCCTAGAAAACTAATACAGGTGTTTAGAAATCAAGATTTAGCCTAATTGGAAAAGTAAACCTATGCCAGATGTGAACATCAGTGTGGCTCTCTTAGCCAGGCCAGAGTTGGTAATCACAGCTCCTTTATTTCTACTTTGGTCTTTTTCAGTTTTCTCTTCTTTTGTAACATAACATAACATACATATCATAAAATTTGCTTTCTTAATCATTTTTAGGTACACAATTTTGTGGCATTAAGTTTTACAACCATCACTCCTATCCATCTCTTGAGCTCTTTCCTCTTCCCAAATTGAGACTCTGTACCCATCAAACAAGCTCCTAGCAACCATGATTCTACTTTGTGTCTTAAAGAATAATATGTCTACTGTAGATACCTCATACAAGTAATTATACATTTGTTTTTTGGGTCTGACTTCTTTTAACATAATATTTTCGAGGCCCATCTATGTTATAGCATATATAATCTTAATTCCTTCTTATGGCTGAATAATATCCCATTGTAAGTTTATACCACATTTTGCTTATCCATTCATTCATCAGTAGACCCTAGAATTGCTTACCCATCTTGGCTATTATGAATACTGCTGCTGTGAACATTTGTCTTAGTCCTTACTTTCAGTTCTTGTGGGCATATACTCAGAAGTTGAAGTGTTGGATTTTTTTTTTTTTTGAATTTAGAAAAGCTTTCCCTTTGGCTTTCTTTTGGCTTAGCAGACTCATCCCGCCTAAGCTCCTCATTTCAGAGGTGACCCTGAGGGCTAAAGTAGTTAATGCCTTGGTGGGAAAACACACAGCCTCCTTCAGAT